ATCGCCACATAGGCACGATCCACTGATTTGTTGCTCGAGCTCCCTACCACATCCGGAGGTGTGTGTGTGTACAATTATGTACAATTTAGATACATATATCATATATATATATATACACATGTTTTCCCCCTTGTGGTTTACATCTCGGCTTCTCTTTGGATTGTTTGGGCCATCAAGCTTGCAGATCTTTCTGGGAAATTGTATAGGTGTGTTTTGTTGTAGGGGACCCCCCAAAATGGCTGGGATGGGTGGGGGTTCCTGTTGGTTGTCCTTAGAACCACCAAAGGAGGGGTGGTCCTTGCAAGAACCGACACACCTATACTTTTCATGGACGAAACCTAAGAAACCCAAAGGAATGATGGTCGTTCCCCTCAAAATACCAACAAACGCTATGGTTAAAACTATGGTTTTCTTAGGTGGGTATCGCAACCAAGTGTGGAGGTCATAGTTATTTTTATTCGTCACATGTCAGGAGCTGCCTGACCGCGTGGCGAGGCTCGCGGATCTGGCCAAGGCGCGAGAGAGAAAACCAACGCTTCGCTCATTTTGCTGGTGCGACAGGGGCAAGGAATGAGAAATGGCATGACCCTTATAAACCATCCAACTGGTGGTGTAGGTACATGTCCACATTCCCTATTGCGCCGTTCTGTTCAGCCCCACCTGAAAACAGGCTTTACGTGCCTGTTTGTGTTTGGGCTGCGGAAATCGCGACTGTGTGATGGCCTTCCTGGCAAAATGTCCACACGAACATGTTGCCTGGAATCACAGAAGCGGGCCTCAACACCTTTTCCCACACGCTGGTCGCTTCATGCTAAGAGGGGAAACCCACGATTTTGTAGATACATGTGCAGCTCCTTTTCTAACTGTACTTTGGAACACCGAAACACCAGCCAGTCACAAAACCTGCGGAGAGTTTGGGGTTTACCTGCAGGGTCAACCGTCTCGAATCCCAAGGATCCCTGAGCCGAACCACCGCTGTTTTTAAGGGGGATGCTGGTTTCAACCACTTCCCGTCCGCAACCCAATCCTTTCCGGATCCATCCGGCCCTTTCCGGATCTATCTGGACGGGTGCCTCTCAAATCTCGGAGCCTGTGATCGGCTATCTGGTCTGGGACCCTGCTGCCTCTGCCAAACGCCGTTGCGGTTGAGCTGCCACGAAGGCAAGACGGAGGCAAACAAAATGGCACCAAGAACAGGGGGGTCTGCACTTCTGCGATAATTGCCAGGGAATGGCTAGACTTGATAATATGGGGGATTCGTCCTTGGGCAGCCCTGTGTGTATCACAGAAGTGGATTCCATTTCCCACGGCTTGAGAGCCTCACCGGGCCAGTGGATGCTTTTCGCCTTATCTGACAGGCATCGCGGAGGTCCGTGGAGCGCCAGAGCCTCAGTGAGGCAAATCGATTTCTGTCATCGAAATGCTTCCTTTTGCTGAAGCTTCTTTCCAGAGGACTCAAGCAAATGGAGGGAAATTAATATATGTTATTTCCCCTGTTGGTTTTGGTTTTCAGGGGCATGTGGTTTTTTCCTGGGGACTTCAGCAAATGCAGGAAGAGTTGTTTCCCTGGGCTTTGTCACTACGCATATGGAAGAGTCACTGGGTTTTCTAGTCGCCTGGCTTGTTGTTGTTTTTTGGGATCCGATTCTTATGTCTGGTTTGGGAGTTATTGCGGAATGGAGTTGTGAGAATTGGAGTTGTGAAATTCAGAGACATATCCGCCCAATTCACAATTCCAATTCTCACAATTCCAATTCCGCAATAACTCCCAAAACAACTCCTTAAAACCAAAACCAAACCAGCACTATTCTCACGATTCCAATTCCGCAAGAATCAATTGAAATTCTGTAGGGCTCACCTTCGAATATTTTTACCCGCCAACAGGTTTCCCCCCCCGCCCCCCCCGGAAGGCAACCCGTCGGATCTAAGGGGGTGAGGTTTCATTCCCAAGCCATTCGGGCATGTGACAAAAAATCAGGGACCCTACTAGTTCTCCATTCGGCCTTCCTTCAAAAATGCTTGAAAGGGTAGCCCTCTCAAGCTCACACCTCAGGAACTTTGCGACTCAAAAACACAAGCCCAATCTTGGTCTAGCTGCAACAGTCCCCAACCCATCCCCCAACCATCCCCCAAACTCCAAACTCCAAACCTAAACACCATCCAAGCCATCCCCGAAGCCCCAACCCAAAGCAGCCACGCCTATTTGGGTGTGGGTCAAAATTAAGCCACCAGCAATTGGACCGCAGGTTTTAGTCTTTTCCATCTACTGGGGCTTGCGGCATTTTGGGTACTTATCTTTGACCCACACCCATATGGCAATGAATTGAAATAGGGGACTCCCTCAAAAGTGGTTGGTGGACATAAATCCCATGTAAATGATGTTCACCAAAGGGTCCCCAATTTTGAGAACCACAGCCATTTGACTCGTCTGAGATGGGAAGCCGGGCTTTGGCTCGGACCCGCTGAAGCGCTTGGAGGGCCGCCTGGGGGCGGGGAGACCTGGAGAGTTGGTGTGGAGGGGTGGGGTGGTGGTTGGGGAGGAGGTGCTCGGACCTTAGGGGAACCCAAGCTTCCATTTGGTTAAGTTGTTTTTTCTTTTTTTCCCTGTTGGTTTTAAAGGGAAGCTACTACTACTGGAATCATGTTTTTTCCAGGGGGCTTAAGCAAATGGAGGCACTGGTGGATTTGGTCCATCCACACGGGTGTGTCTGCTTTTAGGGCCTCCCTTGTATGGTTCCCTTACGATCCCCGGAAAAGGGGCGCAAAATTGGAGAAAACGTCACACCAACACAGGGCTCCTTAAAAGATACATTTTGCAACCATTTGAAACATGTTGCTTTTTTCACCAAAATAAAGGGAAACCACCATTTACAAGGCACCTGCAACATTTGGTGTAATTCACCTTTTGCCCGGGTGTAGGGGATGCTGTGTGGCGAGTTCATCCCAAGCTTGAAACCACGCGGGGCAAGGCGCGCAATTTCTGAGCCTCGGATGGGCAAAGGTTCGCGGCATGTTGAGTCCGTGATATTCTGGGCTTGCTGCTTTCTGTTTTTCCCATTCGGTTGTGTAGCGGACTTAAGACCAACATCAGTCAGCAAGGAGAAGCTTTGCTGGCCAGGGTTGTCTTTTTGGGTGGGATCTCCCTCAATGTCAGGTAAAACCAGAAATGCCTCACCTTGCTTAGGTTGAGGACCTCAACCTAAGCAGGTCTGACTGCTTCCCCCGAATATCAAGCACAGCCTGCGTTGTCTCGAATCTATTGATCAGTCCACCACCCTGGCCCATACCTATCAATCAAGGAAAAGCACACCAGACAAACTCATCGAATGAGATTTGTGGTGTTTCACATCGCTAAGCCTTTGCCACTGGCGTGATCAGCCCAACGTGCGACGAGCGCTTCGTTTCCTGTTGGTGTCTCACGCCTCGCGCCGAAGGCCGGCGCTTCTGGACAAAGAAACTCCCGAGCTCTGGGGGGAAGCGAAAGCCGACCCTGGAAATGGATGAGACACTTTCTGGACCCAGCCTTTGAGCTCGAAAACCGCGGCCTATGGGGGACATACTGCGGATGGACAAAATCCTGCACCTCGCAAAAAGCGATTCCCCGCTAAATTCGACAAGAATCGGCGGTTACAACCATGGCTTCATCTCGGTGGCGCGAAATGGATAGCGCAACCCACCGTATGGCCCCTTATATGGCTGTGGGTCAACACCAATGGTATCCCATTTTGGGGTTTTCGGTGCACCACCCATTTTGCTCTATTTTAGTGGGGAGTGGGACATGTCGATCTTTGACTTTAAATCTCCAATCCATTCCCAAAACCCGGTTGCCCCGGGTTTGCTCCGTGGCTTCCCGAATGCGCTCCATCCACTCGAGACCGGCGCCGTCCGAGGTGCTGTCCCAGCACTGCCGGACCTTCCAAAGCCAGGCAGAGGCCGCTCACCGCCGAGCGTGTGGACGTCCCAAAATGGAGTTCTTCTGGTCTCCCAGGTTTCTCTTTCTGACTCGAGTTCATGGATTTGGTGCGGGTAAAATACAGCATTTTACTGGCCACAACGAAAAATTGGAAAAAAGGGGGGGGGGGAAAAAACAATCAAAACAAATGAAAGCAAACAAACTCCAAAATAAATCCGCACCCTTTGGTAAATAGAGAAAGTTTGGACGTTTGTTTGGCTCAGGCAAATCAGGGAGCGAGCTCCACACCCAGAAAACAGGGGACCCAACAAAAAGACACAGGAAGACCCTTTGCTTGGTTGAGATGGTCATGAACGTGGGCTTCAATCAAGGGGATTCCCTTTTTGATCAGTGCCCTGTTTGGGGTGGTAAAACGAAGCTTCAACAGAAACCACCCATGCATTTTGTTTTTCTTGGTGGGGGGGGTTGGGGGGTTCCCTTGTTTTGACACATTCTCATTATGCTTCTCAGGCGGGATCCGCATTTACACACATCATCCGCACCACCCACACCATTCGCGCCATCCGCACCATGCGCAATGTGGACATCACGCATGTGGACTTTCTTGCCTGCTGTGTTGCCTTTGAAATTGTACCCGGTGACGCCCATTCTTGAGTCCAGCTGAGATTTGGTGCCTGGCTGATATTTGGAAGTGTTGGTTGGCCCTGGTTTTGCCAATGCTTGGCCCATGGCATTCGCGAAAACGGACTCGGCTTGATAGCCTGCTTCAGCGGTACTTCAAGGGACACTCCTTTAGGACTTGAGAGTCTGTGCTGAAGTCAAAAATCCCACACGAGCTTCCCTTTGGCTTTCGCGTGCACAAGGGGTACTCTAAAAGTCACCAGCCTTTGTGTGGTCTTTGGTTGACATTTATGATCTCCCTTTTCAGCCATGGCTAGAACCAAACGTCAGCGGTTGATCAGAGACCCGTTGCTGACCGTGTCTCGGGCTTTCGTTCGCGATAGGCTCAGCAGGATTTGACGGCCCTCTTGCGCCGTTTGGTCACTGAGCTCAACAAAGTGAGCCCGCGGGGGATCGGCTTTGATGAAGGCATTTGTGGGCAGTCAGTGAGGAAGTGAGTTCTAGCTCAATGCTGAATTTGCAATAGTGGATGTCTCACTGCGGATGCTGAAACGCGTCGAGAGAACTGGCAGGCTTGCTACAGGATTTCGAATCCCCGTGGCTGTGCAGGTCGTTTTCTAGGGGTATCAGAGATGTTGAATCCATTTCCCACCCGGCCCAATTAAGTATGCTTCAACCCTGCACGCGGTTGCTGGCGGTTTTCCAGACCCCTAGACAATGGTTTAGGACATGTACACCCCGGAAATGATGTAGAGGTAATCCAAATTGGAGCCATGTGTTCCGTCATGCTGGCTTTCCCACCCACCAACATACCCAGCATGCAATATATTGACCGGAGGCCCCTGGATATTTGAACTGCTTCCTAGGTCCCCCAGTAGTGCCCTTTTACCGTTTCTTTTTTGGGGGAGGGTCGCCCCTACTAAAATAGACAAAACCGTCGGGCACCCGTATTCGAGCTTTCAAATCTGGAGGACCTAGGCTGGCCGTTCGGCCCTTTCGGCTCATTCGGTTTCCAGGCCCAAGGCCCCTGCCGAACGGCAGCGGCCGGCCGAACGGCGGGTCCCAGAAGGGACGGCCACCAGAAAACGTGTAGCCCGGTTGTCGCGTTCTCAGGCCAGGCGGGGATCCGGGAAAAGGAAGCAACTGACCCGAGCTTCACAAGAGGGTCCTCTCAAAGGATACATTGACGACAAACAGATCGCCTACCAGCTGATTTGGAGGAGTCCCTGGTACGTCCCTTGTAAAGCAGGTGATTTTTGGATGTATTCGTCAAAGCACCCTGTTGAACTTGGGACACGTCCGTTGCCAGAAGAATCGCCATGCATCCAGAATATTCAACGGTACCTCGCGGAAGACCATACACGCACAGGGGAGTCCTCCCTGAATCAGATCATGTTCTGCAAGAGAGCTTTCCACCGACAGGTCCGAAGGCGTTTAGTCATCCAAATTGCTCATCATGATCTGAGATGGTTCATCCTGATTTGAGAATTAGCAAAACACATTTCTTCCTAGAATGGCTCCGAAGATATGAGTTGTCCGCTATGGGCTATCCATTCGTAGGAGGCCTGTTGCGCGTGTCCCGCTTTGAAGATGTTGCACCGCACCGCTTTCTCCCGCTGCAGCCAGGCCTCCGATCTCGTGATTTCATGTCAGTTCAGTCTCCAATCGAGGGCTTGAAGCGAAACATATCTAGGTCCCCCCCAGTAGTGCCCTTTTACCGTTTCTTTTTTGCGGGAGGGTTCCCCTACTAGAATTGGTTATTCTAACCTCCCCTACTGGAGGACCTAGATATTGTTTTCCTTGGTCTGAGACCACAAATCCAGCTGCAAGGCGGATTCGTCAGGAGGGACCCCTTAACAGAGCAGTTATCGCAGGTTTATGAAGGCCCTGCGCGCTTCACTTCGAGGTCCCTGAGTTGAGTCCTGGCAACCCAGGATCCTCAAGAGGAAACCTGGCTAGAGCGCTCCCAGGAATTCCGGGATTTGTGGGACTCCGGTGAGGCCAATCAGGAGTCCCTTTTTGCATTAGGCACGCAAAGAGTTGGTTCCGGATCGGTTCGTTTTTCTGCCTTTTGGAAGCGCCCCAAGCTGGCAACGCTTTCGGGCGTTGAATTCTACGAAACGGATTTGTGCTTTCGGGGCTCCTTTCGTGAACCCACAAGCTAGACATATTCCCACGGCTCCAGCGTGTAGGAGTTTATTGCCTAAGTCTACCAGTTCTATTCCTTGTTTTCGTCAGAACCAGGGGAACCACCTTTGACAACCAAAAGGGAAATGGCTGGTAACCTTGCCTCCAATAATCATGGCAGCTGACAGCGGAGTTTTGGAAGACTTCTTTCCTTTCCAGCAACCGCACTTCCATTGCTGAGCAGAGGGAATCTAATTGCAATAGTGGCTTGCCCATGATTGGCTGGTAGTCAAAACTGCGGCTAATCAACGATGGAGACCTTGTTTCTCCAACCCAACCTGTTTTTGAACCTCAGCTTTTACCTTTTGGTGGCGCCCCCAAAAACGTTGTTTTTTCCCCCGAAGCCAGGCGTCGCAGCCATGGCGCAGCCAGAAGAGATGCAAGACAAGCACCAGCCTCAGCACCCGAAAACCAGGCCACCACGAAATTCTGGAGGTGCTTCCGTTGGCAAGTTTTGCTGTGGGTCAACACCAATAGGATCCCTATTTCAGTCACGCCCCAACTCAACTCAACCTGTTTGGGCAACTCCAGCATGTTGCCCGACAGCTAAAGCGCACCCAGTCAATTTGCGCAGTCCACCAACAAGCAACACGGATCTTGTTGAGACATCGCCAACCCAGCATGAATCCAACTTCTGTGCGTTTCTCGTCTCGCCTAGGATTATGCAGCTGAATAGCTTGCAGATCTGGACGAAGATCAGTGACGGCGACCTGCACTTGGCCGCCCGAATGCTCTTGGTCGTGTTTTTTTTTTTTGTTCTCTTCGCGCAGATTTGCGCCTTTGTGGGCTGCAACCAAAAAACATGTTTGTCCTTTTGAACATACTCAGAGCTGGTTTGACACGAGGCAGACTCGACGAGTTGAGAAGACTATGCTATGTCAACTGCCTTTTCTGATTGCAGCGATGAACATATTTTCTCAGCAGCTGCACAGGCACTCGACGCACCCATAGCCTTTAAACAGAGCTATGGAGTTGTTGTTGTTCTTGTACGAAGTCGCAAGGGATCATGCCGGTCGAGTCGCGTGCAAAGACGCTGGGCCATCATGTTTTTGCTTCTGAAGATATAAGGGGTACCCTGTTTAGGGTTTGATTTGAAGTGAAACCAAGGGGACACTCAGTTTTTAGGAGAGTTTCTCACTATGAGTTGTGTTTCTTTCAGGCCCGACATGTGAATCCGAAGGTCACGTTCAAGGATGTCCAAGAGCTCTTTCACGTCATGGACGACAACAAGAAAGGCTTCGTCTCTGGATCAGCGGCCCCGGCCAGAATTGTTTGCTGGGTCAAAAGGCTCGCGCGCATGTTGTGGTAGACTAATATGGAATGAGCAGTGTGTGTGCATTCAAACTTTGGCCTGTTCCGGAAAACCAAGGCTGTAAAGGCTGTGGTTTGTCCGTGCACTAGGTTGCCAGAGTTGCTTTCTTTTGGGGGGTGCGTGTAATCGAAAATTTGTCAAGCAAAACGCAACTAGCAAGTGGGATTCACCTGCTGAACTCAACCCTTGCAGCGGCAGTCCTTTTCTAAAGCTTAGGAAATCAGTCGTTCCAAGACTGCGGCTTTGCGTCGGGCCTTTCTTTCCCAGAACCAAGCAGCCCAAGGCTTCAGAAGGTGTCCTTTGCTCCATGGGCTGATGCTTGGCTAGTCTGGGATTCAAACAACAGCTAGGTCCCCCAGTAGTACACTTTTACCCTTTTTTGTGGGGGGTTCCCCTACTAAAATAGACTACAGAAAACAGAAACGGTACCCTTATTCTAACCTGTCTACTGGAGGACCTAGACAGTGCGATGGGAAAGAGGTGGCGGTTTCCTCCCTCCCTTCTTTTGTTTCTGTTGGCCATGTTTTCCGTTTGCCGGAGTTGGTTTTGTTGTTTTCGTTGTCTTCGTTGCCTTCTTTCTATTTGGCTAGTTTGGGATCTCGAAGCCCTGGTTGGCGTCGGCGAGGTGTCCGTTTCATCCAATCTTTTGCCACAGTCAAGCCTGCAGGATTCCCCAATCAAAGCCGCCAATTGCTTAAACATGGCTATGAGCTTCAATACAAAAGCCTTCCAAACTGGTGGACACAAACCTCCATGGGAACCGAAGGGTTCCGAATCCGCCTCGACACTTGGCCGTTCCCAGTGCCCTGTTACACACTTTGGGGGAGGGTTCCCCTATCTCAAATAGACAAAACCGAAGAAACGACGAAACGGTACCCTTATTCTAACCTCTCTACCAGAAAAAAGAAGAAGAAAGAAACGGTACCCTTATTCGAGCATCTCAAATCTGGAGGACCTAGTGGCTGTCAGGGTTCCGAATTTGCCTCGAAACTTGGCAGTTCCCCAGTCTTCCCTAAGCCAACGCTGCTCCAACGGCTCGCTCCGCTAGGACCTGATGATGTTGCAAGCCGTCGCCGGCGTGAAGCTCTCGGAGCAGGCGCGAAGAGATTTGGCGGTTGTCAGAACCGTTTTGGGATCCCATTTTGGGGGGGGTTTCGGTGAATTTCACCACCCATTTTAGAACCTATTTTAGTGGTTGGATTGGGATATTCACGCGAATAACCGGGCTTTTGACCCATGGCCATTTGGCCTTGATAGGAAGGTGGTCTCTGGCTTGGTTGTAGTCAGACCGCTATTGGAGCAAAGCGCCAAAGAATGGGATGGGCTTATTAATCTGGGGTCAGCATTAGGCCATGATCCTCCAGATTTGGAGGATTTTGCTTGTAAGGCTTTTTTGGGTAACACATGGAAACTGTAACTGCCACTTGCAAGCAGGCAAGCAAGGGAAAGCACCATTTACTAGATGCAAGAACCCTGCAGCACCCTATCATTTGTGCTGTTCAGTTCGGCAACCCGCATCCTACGGCCTAGCCGGACACGATGTATGGTCATTATGCACAACCAACCATTATTGCAACGCTTCCGCCTCGGCCAGCATGCGTATGCTTCTGGCTGGCCTTGAGTACTGTGTTTTGGCTTGCCTTGAAGTGTCGTGTTTGTGAGTGTGAGTCGGCACCGAAATCCGAAATGCGTGAGCTGGTTTCCAAGAGATACGGTGGGTGCATGTTCGCGCGATGCCACATGGCTGACTGGGGCCAGAACGAGAGCCGCAGTCTGAGAGCTACGGGCTGGCCATGTCTAGGGCCAATTTGACAACCGCAAGCATCTTTGGTCAGCCTGCCAACGTGGAGGCAGCCTCAAATGAAGAACCCTTTTTTGGATCGGCCCTTGCTCAAACTCAAGGGTCTTAGCGGGCCTCGCTTTCAAACTCAGATGCCGAGTGCGTCGGTTTCCGACAAAAGCTTGGAATAGCTCCGTTGACCAGAAACAAACCGGTTCACACATCTTTTCGGGGTCGGCCCTGTGCTTCTTCACGCTCCTCCTCACCTCTTGAGCTCCATTTTTCCATTTACCGCCTTGTGGGAAGACTAGATAAGTGGGTGTGTCTGAAAATGAGCAACCCCTCAAACTGGGGATGGGTGTCTGAATTCCCTTTTGAGCTCCGAAACGGACACCCCGAAAAAAGCGGTACACCCAAAATAGAACTTGACATCCCACCCAAAGAGGGCAGCCCATATCCTTGCGGGCCTTGGCATACGGTTCCCAAGTAGGGATGCTGAGCAGAAGCTTCAGCGCTCCTGTTGCTGAAGGCTGAAGCCGGCTACCGCTTCAAGCTTGTGGTCCAACAAGAATGCACGTAGATCCATGATGTAAAACAAACATTATGCATTATCCGGTGCGGAGGGGCGCAGGATTTGCTCTTAGGGGTGGGGAGTTCGCGATTCCCAAGGACCTGCGAGAACTGGTGCGGGATGCTGACAAAGACGGCAGCGGCAACATCTCGGCCCGGAAGCCAGGGAGGCGAAGTTTCGGAGAGAGTCTTTGTTTTGGCCAGGGCGCGCTTTGCTCTTTGCGTGACACTCACTTACCGACAGTTTCGTGCTGCATTGACTCCCTCCAGTGGTACCTGAAAAAAAAAGAAAAGCCCACGCCCGCGTACATGAAGTGCGACAGACATGTGACTTCCCTAGCAGAATGATGGGAGGGAGGGCGCCTGTTTAGTGGGATTCAACTCTTGGGTCTTGAGACCTGCTGATTACGCGAGGTGAATCGGTCCTTGTGCGGGTCTACATTACGAGTCATCGATATCCATTCCACTGAGATAGAGGGTCTTGACGGGTGACACCAACGTCACAAGCCCATAAATGAGCATGTGTTGTATATATATATATATAGTATATATATACACGTTTATGTGACACATAAGGTGCATTGATCAATAGGGTCGTTCGATCCTTTTTTTTGAACCTCCGAGTGAAATTCATAAGGAGTGACTTGCGCAGAGTGACTTGCGCGCATCGCTCTGCACAAGCCGCTTCGTGCATGTCACTCTCTGTAACAGACTCTGCCCCAGGGCCCAGTGTTTTTGCTGGAAGAAGAGCGCTTTCGGCAAAAGCAGCGATGACTTTTAACTTCCCCGGAAATAGTTCCCCTTATTATTGTTTTGTTTTTTGGGGGTTTCCTTTGTTTTCCACTACCAGGCAAAACATCATCTTTTGCTGGGGTCCTAATTCCAGCCAAGTTAAGTCGAACAGACCGCCGCACGCAGAACTCTGGCAAGAGCTTCACGACGGTGAGAATCGGACCAAACCAAGCGAGCCCTTGGGCCAGCTTTCGCTGTTGGGGTCCCATGCTGAGATAATTCTTGCACCTTTGCTCGAACATGGATCCTATGTAAAGAGGGTCCCATACAAGAAGACTTCCTTCAAATGGTTGGGGGGTCCAGGTCCGCAGTAAGGAATGTTGTCCATGGTTCAAACAAATGTGTTTCAGGCGTGAAACAACCATGTTCTGGCAGCGCGCGTCCCAAACGAATTGGACCAAATTTGGCCGATGGTCTCCTTGAGGCTTCCCCCAACATCCAAAGGCTTGGTTTCAATTTCAGGGGACATTTTAAACCCGACAGGGAGTATTCCAGTTGAGTTTTTGGAACCTCGAAAAGTGGCAGTTTCAATGCAACCCACCAGTCAACTGCGACTCTTGAAGGGAAATCCAGTGACCCCTGTCCATCATCCCCTGTTCCCTCCCACTATGAAAGCCTTTCCAGAAGTAATCTAGCCTTTCACCAGGAGAGTATGGTCGGGGGCAAAACCCCCTATGTCGCACGCCCAGGCTGAAGAGCTTTATGACGCCATTACCAAAGGCCGGGTGACGAACCCAGACGCCCCAATCTGGGGTTGAATTTTGGGGAAGCTTGGCTGGCTTCACGTTTGACGCTGGCTTCTTGTGATCTCTCTCCGGTCTTACGTTGTTGTCACGTTGGTTGCATAGCGACCAGAACTTTTGGTTTTGCAAACCCAGGCGATTGATTTGTTTCCAGACCCCCAGGTGGTTGGGGGTTCGATTCGGTCCAGTTTCGAGAAGCTTCGCCTTGTGGATCTGTTTTCGGTTCCTTTCAGTTTTCGCCTATCTGAAGGTCGGCTCGATTAGCGACTGGGGAACCCCCCCCCCTCGCGTTGGTCGCGGGATCACGGGTCCAGCTTCCCTTGCAGATCTGCCAGTGGCCGGGATCATATCCTTCCATTTGGTTAAGAACATATATTTTTTTGTTCCCCCTGTTGGTTTTAAAGGGAATCTATCACTACTGGAAATATGTTTATTTTTTTTTTTTCTGGGGGTCTTAACCAAATGGAAGTATCTATTGCATAAATATAGCCATCCCCCAAACCACACCCAGGTGCTCACGAGTTTTCATGTGGATTGCATGCATTTAAGCATGCCATCCTTCCTTCTTGTCTTGTTGTGGAAGGGGATCAATTTGCTGGATCTGCAGCTAATCGGTCAAGTCTTGGCAAGCCAATGCAAGCAAGCAGGAATATGAGCACATAGCTAGATTTCTTGAACCTGCTTCAATTCCTGTACGGGCGTTCACGAACTCAGCATGGTGTAGTAGTACTTCAGCGTGAATTGGATAACAGTAATGGTCAGGTAGCACTTATGAGTCTTGTAGCGGTACCGGTTTGAGCATTGTTACTTCCAGTTTGGAAGCAGTATTGTGTTGGTTCATTCGTGTATGGGTAGGCTCGCAACAAATGAATAATACTTCATTTGGAGTCCTAGTAGCACGTTTGCTTCAGGCTAGTTGTAGCATCAGTTGAACATTAGTTTGGCGTTGGCTGAGCTTTGCTGATCCCAATGAAGATTTGCTTTGCTAAGCGACAAAAATGCAACATACACTGAAACGTGTTCTTTTCAGGCCTGGCAAAGAGTGAAAGCATACAAACTAAACCTGGACCAACGGTGAACAGTAAAACTACCAAGACTATTCTAGGCTCAGGAAAGAGAAGTCCCCAAAGTCGTGCGGCTTCGGACAGACGGGAGAACGGTCATACATTGTGTATTTGCTTTGCCCCGGAAAAAAAAAAGTAAAAACGGTAGGACGTAAGGAGTAAGGCTCTTTTTGGGACCCATGAAGTGGAGATAGCGGAACTGGAACTCTGAGCTTCTCTCTGATTTTCGGGCCAGAAGCTTACGTGTTTACTGGTGGATTTGCCCAGGTAGAGCAAAGAAAGCAGCAAAGCTCTTGGATCCATGAGTAAAAGCAAGACTTCCTGAAGCAAAGAACATGTTTACCTTTGGGAGTCTTACTGCCAGAAGGAAAGAGCACAGTGCTACTTTGGTAACGTTACGTTTTACTGTTACTACTGTGGATGGACGAAATCCTGCACCAATTAAGAAGCCCTGGAATGATGGTTCCCCCTGTACATACCAACAAACAATGGTTTCCCATGGTTTCCAAGTGGTGCAGGATTTCGTCCATCCACAGTAGGGATGCTCCTCATTTCGGATCGGAGTCCAAAAGGTTTCACTGTTTACACATGTTACTTGTACTGGGGAACAGTGAGCACAAACTGCCTGACGTAAGACGCAATTCCATTTGTGAGTTGTGCTTTTTTACGTTTTGTGGGTCCAACCGTGTTGTTGTTTTTCTTACTGTTCCTGTCCGAAATCGGAACATATACATTCTTGCAGGGTTGTGTGCATTTATCCAGAACAACAGAATTGTTTATGCAGGGAGTTTGCAGTCTTTGTTGTGCATGTGTCCACTGCATGAATTGAACAGTATTCAGTTTTGCAGGGTGGTTGCAAGTTGTTGTGTGGATTTGTCCATTGTATCAACAGGTCTGCCAAATCATGGACGTGCGCTGTAGGGGGCTGTTGGAATACATTCATATCAGGGTTGCCTACGACTTGCCTTGGCGCTATGTGGCTGGATCTTTTTTGTTCACAACTGTTTTGGGAAACTCCGTCTTCCCACCCAGCCAGAGAGTTCAAGCTTGGGGCAATAGCCGCTCATTTGCAATACCTAGGTTGGCCATAACGTCCGATCCATGGTCTAAGGGCTGCATCAAGTTCGCACGTTTCCACATGGCTTCAAGGGTCAGAACAAGAGCAGCAGTCTGAGAGCTCAGAAGGGCAGCGGATTTTGGGCCAAGCAAAGCCTTGGGGCAAAAACAGAATTCGGCTGGGCGGCCGGGCAGGCCGTTTTTCAGGGGGAGGGGGGGGTGGCGGACGGACAAACTTGGGTGGAGGTTTGGGAAGATCCTGAAGGGGCCCGGCCATGGGGAGTTGCATGCGGCGTTTCTTTGGGGTTTCGGGCTTTACACCGCAGGTGCCATTGCCTTCAACGTGGTGAAGGAGAACCTGCGAAAAAAGGAGGCCTGCACCCATAGGTTTGGAGCCTCATGTCATTCTTGGAAGAATCCGGAGGATCCTGCTAATCAAAGTCCTAAGGTAGATCATGTTCAGACTAAAGGAGAAACCATGGCATACTGGTACGCCCCTTCGGATTATGTCAAGGTGCAATGTTACATTGTAGAAGGCGTAGAGTTGTTGAGGTTGGGCTGCATTTGTTGTTGGCGGAATTGCATCTATTATGATTGGTTGTCTCATGTTGTACGTGGTTCTAGTTCCTTTTGTCGTCGTTCCCGCCACTCTTAACATCATCTACATTGTAATTGCTTTGTCCGAATTTGTCGGCATTGCTAGAATGGGGGGGGACGCCACTCGAGGAACCAATCGGAGCGCGCCCATTTTGGAGGCCACTTTTTTTGAAGCACCCTCGTCGTCACCGTGGTCGACCATGGCTCATGTGCACCTCCCGAAAGGTGGAGTTGAAGTCGCACCAATGCGAGCGAGAGAAGCTGATTGAATGGCATCTTGGCTCGCCTTTGAGTCCGCATTCTTTCCCTTGGAACTTCTCGATTTGCCCCGGTCGAAACCATCTCTGGGGTCTCCTTACCAACGGTATGTTAGATGTTGCTCTAGACAAAATTTGGAACATAATCAGACAATTGATGACAATTGTGTTTGGTGTGCCCTGGTGTTGGGTCAAGATTCGGGGGGGGGGGGCCCTAAACGCCTAAACGGATTTGGATAAATGGATTCTAATCGATTGCAAGGATGTTCACGTGTCATTTGGGGTCACCCAAGTGGTGCATGGTGGGTGGTCCAGCGTTTTTGTTTGTGGTGCACACGTCTTTTTTGTTTGCCGAGAGGAACCACCGCCATATATTTCGACTTCTCAAGTTGGGATCGCAGCCAAACCCGGCCGATGAATGTATCCGCGTTTGTGGTGTCCCTGTGAATGCTGGAGGCTAGACCTTCTTTGTGTTGGCTTCAAGTTGTTTGAGCCCCGGCTTCTCGTGCAGGGCACATGGGACACCTCCAAAGCGATCCAAAGCGACAACGAGGGAAGCCCAGACCTGGGAGGAGACCCCAAAACCGGCGGCTTAGGAGGCACCCTCTGGGGGACTTGAAAACCAGAAGATATTATGGGAGAATTATAACGAGCTCACACGACTTCACCCTAAATGGTGGTTTATGTTGGGAATAGCTCCCCAACTACCTTCTTTCAGGCTGGTGAAATATTATAAACCCAGAGAGATGTTTGAGCTGAGAAGAATCTTTTTCTGTTTTTTGTCTGTGGCACAACCAATTCCTCCCAGCTCAGAAACTAACTCCTCACAACTAATTCCTTCTGTGGCACAACTAGACGCCGGCTTTGAGGATGAAGTGGGAGTATGAGACCAGCACTGCTTTATGGTCTCTGCCCACGGTCATTGGCACCTGCGTCACTTTCGCTCTTGCCACTTAGGTCGCAACGAGCCCAGGATTCCCCAAAAAAACACCAACTTTCTAGAGGTATGATGTGAAACTGACAAAACCGAGAGGTTTTATTGCATGGACAACCAGGGTTCAAAGATGTGCGGAAAAAAATGCTGGTATAAGAAGCCGGGTATTTGGAGTAGGGGGTTAGTAAACCCTTCAAGGTGTGCATGTCCATCCCTGGCCAATCCAACGTAGGTGTTGGGAACCCAGTTGCGCGGTTTCTTGAAGCGATTTTTGAGGGGATTCGGATCACTGTTGGAAACGACAAACAAACATATTTGCGTCCGATGAGCTTATTCTTCCGGGATGGACCTGGGATGAGGAGGTTTTGATCAATGAGAGGTTTCATTTTTGTCCTCACTTGATATTGTCCCCCTTGGCCCTTCCTTGTCTTGACACAGCCAAGAGTACCAACGTGAGATGACTCCACTAGCGCCAAGGTGCTACCTCTCAAAATTCCATGAGTGGAGTTTGAGAGCCGTGGTTTGAGAGACCTGCCACAAACGTGCCAATGAGTCGGCTGCAAGGTGGCAAGTACCCACATCGACTTGTTTAGCGCCTTTCGAATCCATCAGGGGATGGAGGCGGGGAACCTGGAAGTCGAATCGGTTGAAATTGGCCGATGGTGGCTTCGAACTGTGAGAGTTGCTAGGTCCGAGCACCTTCTCAATTCCAGCCGGCTTTGGGCGCTTGGTTGTAGCTTCTGTTTTCGGTTTGAGCAACATGCAAGGAGTGCCAAATTTTGAGAAAGATGTCCAGTACTTATGGAACATTTGCAAGGCAAGATGCAGTGGTGGCTTATGTTGAATCAGTGAACGTGAATGCATACAACAGGTTCCTAGATTCTATTTATCCCTCGTTTCCAGGATCGAACAGGCTAACTTTGCCGGAGAAGGCTGTCAGCAATTGGTTTGTTCATGATCCCCTTGTTTGGGATACGCCAAAGGTGCGCTTGCGATTCGAATCAATGTGGCATCATGGAACGTAAAGCCTGGCTTCCGTAACTCTGGCCGATGTAGTGATCGATGTAATGTTGACCCCATATTAATCAACCCCGGTTTATTAATAGGGGGGTGGGGGCCCCTCCAAAAGTGGTCCGATTCCAACCACTAAACCCAGGGACACCCCCTATTAAATAAACTGGGGTTGATATGGGGTCAACATTATACCGAGTTGAACTCATTTTCCGCGTCAATGGTGCTGTAGTTACTTAGTTAAACTCACTTTTGCATGGTGCTGTCTTTGATGACACGCTGGATGCTAAATTCGCACGCGCACAACAACCATGCACATACGTACACACACACACACACACAGCAGCGCGAAGCAGCCCTAAAGTCTGCGCAAGCCTTTGCACCAGTATGGACATCTTTGCGTGTCACTAGAATCTGGCATGCTTGATCACACAAACAAAACTTGGCTGCCCATCGCCGCCGGGATTTCGGAGAAACATGGATAAAGCCTGCGGCAGAGTGGCAGGACTTCAGCTGCAAGCCTTGGAACGAAGCCGTGAACCCAAGTCCGTGAACTCAAGGAATGACTCTCGGTTCAAGATGTCACAAGCCAATCAATTCATGAAATGATGCCTGAGGGCAGATCCTGGGGACCTCTTGGAGCAAAAACAGCCACCTCTCTCCACCAAACATGTTAGCATCACTCGGCCCGAACAGGTGGCACACTTCTGCGCCAAGCAGCCGCGTAACATATATAGTTTTGCGCCAAGCAGCCGATTGCGTAACCAGGTGAGATCACATCGCATGGTGATTTGCATTGCCTATTCCCGAGAATCGATTGGAACAGTGGTTTGTCCGGAAGGTTGAAGTACTTGAAAATGAAGCATGGCACTTTGGTCCTTGACAAATTGCAAGGGCCACAAGCTTGTGCGATACGATTTATGCCTTGTACTTCTCCTTGCGCGACATTGTGCGACAAATTTGTAGTCCGGGCCGGGTGTATTGGGTGTATTTTGGCTTTAATTTGTGCTGTTGGGAAAGCTTAAAGCTGCGTGAGAGTAAAACTGGGGTTGGCGCTTTAGGGTGTTCCTGAATATTAAGCAAGCACAACGTTGTTAGCATGTGCTTGCAGTGTCACATGAAAGAATGTGGCGGCGGGCCAAGTTTTCATCCCACCAATGGCAAGTGGGATTGTGACGGAACGCGCCTGAGAGTTATGAAGGAGGCGTTTGCTATCCTGCAGAAAGGTAAGAGTAACAAAACGATGACGCGTCAGTCACGATGTTCGAGCTGCGGCTGCGGTTGTACTCCAAAGTTGCAATTTTCGAGCTGGAGCTGCGGAAGTGTACTTCGCGTACTAAACTTGTGACTTGTGCTTTAAAGTTGCGATTTCTCAGCTGGAGCTGCGGAAGTCTACTAGATTCTACTAGAAAAACTACAAAGTTGCGATTTCGAGCCGGAGCTTCGGAAGCGTACTTTGCGTACTAGACTTGCGCTACAGGCTGACACCCCTGCAAACTGATAAGAGTAAGTAAATGAGAACGTTTTCGGGGGACGGCTAAATTCAACCAGAGACTTTGTTCACAACCCCCGTGAAGCCATGAAACTATTTCCGTGTGGGCACGTCAAATGTGTGGTTCCTAGCAAACATAGTAAACGTTAGGCTTCTTCTTACAGCTCTTCAAGACCGTTTGCGTGGTGTTGGGCAGTGGCGTGATTCTGACTAAACGCAAGCCGTGCGCAAACCAATCAATACCCACCCAGCTTCTCACTGAATGGCCACACGAGTGATACCTAACGTGAGTGCGCAATGCACTGCGCAAATCGCCTGCATGATAACATGGAATGGTCCATCATGCTAATCTTAGGACTGGCAATTTGGTGCAGCTGTGCGTACGACATAAGCCACGCAGCTTCCGTGGGATTCGGCGTCATATTTCAGCCATGATCCATCCGAACGCTTGACGACGTATGCTTAGTACTTGAGGGAAACTTCCAGGCCGGGGCTCCTGCGCGGGTGTCCAACGTCACGCCCCCTTTCCGTCACGCAAACCTCTTGAAGCATTCGCGTTGAGTTGTCTATTTGTTGGTTGAACCTCTCTTTTTTGGGGGGGTTTTGCTGAACAATCCCAAAGAACACATTCCCATCTCCAGGTGGCGACATGCTCATGGGATCACACCAGCATGACGCACTCTAATCCTAGAGAGGTTTAACTGATCTCCACTGCGCTTCCCTCGAGCTCTGGGCTGGTTTGAGGCGAACTTCCCGTCGATCATCAACGTCGTGAAGTACAAAGTCGTTGACGCCTGGAACCCCAGGAGCCCCGGGGCCCCGGGGCCCCGGCTGAAGGCCAAACCAGTGGAACCCTGGCAGCCGAGCAACTGGGCGTGAGCCTTCGCAAGGCGAGAGCTGTAGCGCATGTTTGTTTTGCCCAAGAAGCTGTACTTTGAGATCTTTGAGTGACTGCCCTTCCGAGTAGTGGCCAGAAAGCGAACCGCAAGAAAACCATGATGGACATGGGCATTGATTGGACGGGCTGCCTGCTTCTGGGGGGGGCGGCAGCTGCATGTTTTTGTTCCATGTTGCATATCTTGAGCAAGTCGGGCAAATCTGCACAAACAAAAACACAAACAGAAACACACACACACAAAGCACAACAAACGCTCGAACAACACAAATTGCACACACACAAACGCGCACACGCCCACGCCCACGCACACGCACACGCACACGCACACGCACACTACACTACACTACACTACACTACACTACCCTACACTACGCTACGCTACGCTACGCTACCCTACACTACACTACACTACACTACACTACACTCCACACACAGTACACACACACACAAACAGAAACAGAAACAGAAACAGAAACAGAAAATAAATATTAAACACAGCACGATACTTGCAAACACATAGCGGCAAAAAGGTGCGGTTTCTGTTGAGTGTTTTTTGTTTTTGTGGTCGCTCTAGACTCAAGCAGTATTGCCCTGCAAAAACACCAAACAACACCAACAAGGCACCAAAAACCGCTTCCGCGCAGGGGGCGGGAGCACAAATCAACAACACAAACGTGCGTCAAACACAACCAATTATCACAGTATAATGAATTACACACACTGTGTCACCCTGCGCTATTCGTCGGATTGCTAAATCAGTCTTAGAAGGGATGGGCGGCGGCCGTCAAACTGACACGCCGAATTTGTGCTCCTCCTGAATAGCCAGTTGAAAGGCAAGCCCTTTCGACGACTGTAACTGGGCGGGAGGTACTTGTACACAATACTCAGGACCGGATTTCATTTTGCAGACTTGGGGGGTTATTGGATTTGAAAGGCGGCAGAAAGGGCACCAAGAGGTGCGTAGGGATGGGTTTCTCCCCAAGAGGTGGCTGAACGCGAAGGGAGCTTTTTGCCATGCGGCCATCTGCAACTTGGGTTCGCTCACTTTTAGTAAGATAGAAACCGTTGGGGCGAGAACCCAATGTTTGAATGGTCCGAATGTTGTTTTCGGCGGAAACCCATTTTCAACATGTTGAAACCCCGCGTTCCACCACCTTGAGGGGATGGGTCGCTATGGGTCGCTCCATGTTTCGGGCTTTGGGAAGGTTTTTCTGGGGTTCAGCTCAGCGCGCCTCCGATTCAAAGAAACCTCCGAGGGTTCCATTTGGCTGTGGGGCAAAAATATGTACCCAAAATGGAGCCCTGGTAAGTGGAAACATGGACCAAAACCTGCGGTCCCCTGGTAGTTTAATTTTGACCCATACCCTTTTGAAAAAAAACGAGCGTCTGGTTCAGTCATCGTGTTTTGGGACGTTTGCCTTTTTTGTTGGATTAGTGGCACCCAAAGGAATTGAGCGACATCACCTTGAGCCGTTCCCCGAGTTTGAGACACCCAAATCGGTCAGCACCAGTCAGAAGTCTCCTTCTGAACATATCCTGTCAGCTAAGATCAGAACCACCAACATCTGGACCAGGCGGGGCCGAACTCCGATGTCTGAAAATTGGAATGCCCATGATACGACAAAGCACATAGGAGTCAGCTTCAAAACTCTCGTCATTTAGTTTAGGAGGGTTTCAGAAGCACATCTGTTTTTTTTTTTTTCCAAAGGACGCCGACTCTAATAGGATACACCTCTGCTGAGCAGCTCGGTGTCGGTTTTTTTTCCAGCGCCTCAGGCCTTGGCTGCCCGATGTTTCATGGCATGCACGGAGTGGCACGTCGGTGTGGGTCAAAAGTTTGTATACCCAAAATGGGGTGTCCTGATAAATGGAGAGGACGAAAACCTGCGGTGCATTTTTTCCTGGTGGTGAAACCGTTTGACGGTTTGCCGGTGGTTTAAGTTTTTGACCCACACCCACGTGAGCAGAACTTCATATTTCATGGCCTTTGCGATACCAACATTGGGGTTGATATGCTAGAAGGCGAAGCTCCTCACATTTCGAGGAACTCGGGGCTTTAAATGAAGCAGGTGTTACCAAGCGTTGGTTCAATGTTTGTGTTCGAGTCAAGGTTCTGCCCCCAAGGTGGAAAGTGTGCTGCAGAAAGTAAATGCTTTGTGCTTGGCAGGCCTACGAGTCAGCTGGAGAGGAATCCTTGAGCAGGGATCCCTCCTTATTAAAGAAAGGAGCATATCAATCAGGGGTCGTGCCTGCTGGCCCTTGTTGCGAAACCTTGGCCAGCACCCTAGCATCACGGGTGAATGGTGCTGGTTCTCGGCAATGGTACTCTCCCGCAAACCAACAAAGATGGAGCTTGTTTGAGAATTCCAACATTTAGGATGTTCAAATGAAATGACTCTGTGGGGTTCATGTCAATCTGCAGGGAAGGAAAGCCAACCGCAAGGTCAGAACCGTGGCCAATGCCGAAGTTGACATTGACCGTCCCTCCCCTTCACGTTTTAACAGGTTCCTTGGCAAGCCAACAGGTGGCAAGAAGTATTCCGGCGAAGCAGCGCGAGGTTCATTTGTACTTCGAACGCTAGCACCCGTTGGTTTTTTTGGACAGTGCTTTGGACAGAAGAGTTGTGTCCCATACCCGACACCCGACTGTTGCCCATGAATTTTCTGGAAGACACATTTTAAGCTATCTTTGGTACGGATTTGCTCGGCTGCGCCTTTATACGACTCAACCCCGCCAATGGAGGCTGTTTTGAACGATAGTTGTCTATCTTACCCCAAGGAAGCAAACGAGCAAACGGTCGCAAAGGTGAGGTGCCCATGCCAGTCAAATGGTAACGAAGGGCTGACGGCAGCAAACAAAAGCTGGGCTGATGTTTGTGCATGTTTCAAACATCAGCTTGAGGAAATCATGGTGAGCTGAGGATTGCTGAACGTACAGTAATTTGCTTTAGGGTTCCTTTTGTACACGCATTTGGTTGTGACTCTTTTGAACGGGCTCAACGATTTACTTGATGGAAGATGGTGCCGGAGCCCCAAAACGCCTCTCAGTCCTGAGAGGTTGCGCGTGCTCTCGCGGCAGGCAGTGGTACATTCCCACCATCTTCCGTCAAGACCCCGCCTATGATCCTGTTCCCGGCCGTGTCACTGCCATGCCGCTCGCTTCGCAATTGGTGCTCGGTTTATTAAAAACAAAAAACGGGCGTTGAGCTCGAAGCGCTGAACTCGGAACATGCGGACGTTTCAACTGAAATGCGGTAAATGACGCAGCCCCAGCTCCTTGGAAAGCCTGCCAGAAGAGGACATGCTACTGTGGCTCCAAGTATCAGGATGGTTTGCATGCAGATTGAATACTTGTGGGTCCAGCCCTCAAAGCGTTTTGAAATGGGCACCAACATTGAAATTACCAAACACCGACAACAACAGGTGGGTGTATCCAAATCTTTTGGCTTGCCGGAGTCAAAAGTTGTTGAGCACTTTCTGTTTACGGGCTCGAGCAAGCTTTTTTGATGTTGGATACATCGTGACTTACTCCCCAGCGTTTCTGTTTCTGGCAAACAGACTGGACCTTCTTTGGCGAATCCACGGGGAATGAGGCGAGCATCGTCGCCCTGTTGACTTTTGTCGCTTGATTTGGCCGATGACTTCCGACCATTGTGAACCCAGCAATCCTTGTGTCCGTAAAACCGGCAAACAAATACAAGAGAGGTAGCTGGTTTTGCAGAAGAGCTATGTTTGGAGAGAATGGGAAGGCAATCATACTTGGATCTTCATCAAGTTGCTCGGTCTAGACCCTCTTTTTATGGCCAGTACTGGCCATTTTTTGGCGTGGACATGGACTTCTCGTTCTTCTAGCCATGCGCTTAAGGTGGGTAGGAGCGATCCCGGACCCCTAAGTTCTTTCCTCCACGGTGGAGTCGGGGAGCGACTTGGTTAAGGTAGGGAATGAGTCGGAATCCGATAAACCATCCATAGTGGCTTCCTTTACGCAAGCTTTTACGAGAACCAGCAAGATGCAGGTGACAAGTGATGCAAACCGCAAATTTGATCTTTTTCACCTTTGTATTTGATTCTGAGATTTAGAATCCAATGGCCACAGGAGCTGACTGGAAGCCCGCCGCCATCTTAGTACAGTATTTAGGTGTTTTTGTTCTTGTCCAGAGCAAATTGTTGCGTGTTGATCTGGCAGTGCTTCCTTCACTGCTGGTGCTTTCCGTCGCTTGCGCGAGGCTTGCGCGTCGCTTGCGCTTAGCCACGTCCGACCCCTGCCCCCAACCCGATGAAGACCGGCGAGCCATGCTGGCAGTGGGGAGGCTCTGAGGGTTATTCGGCCCAGCTGGTTTCAGGGTGAAAATGTAAGCCGTGAAGCCTTCCCAGGGTTTGATTTGAGGTGAGCTGGCATTGGCGGTTCAGATTTGGTGTTTTTTATTGTTTGAGGGTTCCCTCAAGTTGGTAAAAGAACTGACAAGGAAGCCTTCTTGCTTTTTTTTGACACGTACCCATTTCCAGACCCCGCCTTTGTTTCTCAGGAACCAGATGATCTTCGGCGCGCGCATGTCCAAGTTCTACCGGGACCCCGTGCCGTGCCCCGTGAATGAGGTCATCCGCTCCTCGCCCGTTTGGGACGCTCCCATATTCACTGCCATCGGCATGGCTTTAGTCTTTACAAGGGGCTTGTGTCTCACTCAAATATATGGCTGTGGGTCAAGAATTAATAGGGTAACCCCAAAATGGAACCCTGGTACATGGAATCATGGAGTAAAACCTGCGGTACAATTCCAGGTTGTTTAATTTTGACCCACGGCCATATTATGTTGTTATTGTTTGTTTGTATTGTGTGCATATGGTGTGTATTGTTTAAGACGTGTTTGTTCGTCGTTCGTTCGGTTGTTCTCTCCACATAAAAACCAGCACATGCCAAACCAGTACTGAATGAAACCACAACTCAATCTACACAATGTTAAATGCAATAGATACTCGAAGCTTGACAGAATGTTCAGATGAAAGCTGAAACTCCTCTTCAGCAGGTCAAGCGAACACTCGAATCTACTAAATCTAATGGAACCTCATCTTCCAAAGTTCCAGCAACTTGAAATCAGATGGACACTCAGACCCAGCAATGGCAGCAAGACTGTAGCTACTCTTGTTTTGGATTCGCACGTTGAACCAGTTTGGTGACATCCAGCTTTTGTCCTGAATCAAAGGCTAGCGTATGGACACTAAGCTGCACGGCTCCAGCCAAGGGGGCCTGTTTGCCGCGTTGGCCACAGAGTAAGAAGAATCCCTAGCAACAAGCAAAGGGCCCGGTCTCTTGGCACATATTGCCTAGTGACCCAGTGACCCTGGCGAAAAAGCGAACCCTTCCATATGCATCTTCATACCGTTCCGAGCCCATCCGGAGCATGGGATGGGGTTCAAGCCCACCGTGAATTTTCTGGATCATCTTGTTTGCTTCTGTTTCATTTGGCCTGTTCGGTGCACACAAAAAATATGTTCTGCCAGTTGGTGTTGATCCGGTGGACGGCCGTTTGCTTCGTCGGCCTGACGACATGCTTTAAACAATGGGTCAGGTTCAAAAGAAGGAACCGGCCCCCGCGTGTTTTTTTCTATTTTCACAAACCGTGCCAACTGTTTGTTTCAGCGGGATGTGCTTCACATGAATCAATTTTCCCGGATGGAACCAGGAAGGTCATCCCTCTTGAGTCTTGAGTTGGAAACGGGCAGTGTTCCATGTTGGGTACCTATTGTTGACCCACAGCCATATGGCCCACAAGGTGATGTTTAAATCACACAAGAAGGGAGATAACAAACCAAACTCGGCCCATGACGGGTGCTCGAAGGAACCTGCTTCTGCTCTAGCCCAAGGCTAAGGATCGGCGGTTGGCAAAAGAAGACAACAGGACCGAAGACCATGTTTGTCCCCGTGTGATTTGGCTGTGGCTCAAAAATGGTACCCAAAATCGCTCCTTGGAGAATGGAAACACATAATAAAACCCGTATCCCCAGCTCCTTAATTCTGAATTGAAGCATTGGATTTTTAGGTTGGAGATATAGGGAATCCGTCACCCCCCACAGATCTGAGGGTTTTTGTATTACACCCTGGGATTACACCCTTGGGAAATGACCCAGACCGGTTCAACATAACACGGCTTTATCCGGAAATGTGCCTAAATGGGGTCAATAGCCAGTGGGTGTATTCCAGGGGTGTAATACAAAAACCCTTAGAACAGAACTCAGTCCCTTGGAGAACATAAATTTCTTGGTTCGAGGTGATGTCTACAATTCGCGGAGCGGCAGTTGCTACTACCACGGCGAGCTCAAGGAGAGCTCTGTGGTCTTCCCGCGCCTCGGTGCGAATGAGGATGGGTCAAAAAGAGGTCAAAAGGAATTGGACCGCAGGGTTTAGTCCTTTTCATTTACCAGGGCAACCCATGTTAGGTATCTAAGTTTGACCATAATTGACAGGTTTTACCCTTCCTCCCACTATCATAGCATTTGTTGGAGGGCACCCGGAAGATAATTTTCCTCTTGCAGGGACCCCCTGTCAGGTGCCATGTTAGTGGGAGGGAGGGTAGTCCTTTCCACTTACCAGGGCAACCCATTTTAGGTATCTATGTTTGACCCACACCCACATTGCTATGGCTTTGAATAGGGAAACCGATGAACAGTGGTGGAATGTGAGACACAACCGACCTGATGCCAGGGTTTCATATCAAGATTCAGAACGACTCAGGCAATTTGAGTCACGGATACGTATGAATCGAATCTCTCAGAAACCTTTCCTCAGTTGCCCAAAGCCGACCTTTTGACCTTTTGGTTTTCCCATTTTGGTCCGTTCGTAATACCTTTTAGTTCTGGGTCCTTTGGGCAACTGAGTTTCAGGGTGAACTTGAATAAGTGGAGCCAAAGCAATGCTGTAAACTCTCAAAACACGATTGGTACCACTCTGATGAAAATCGGGTCGAGCGAATGAATCAAGTATGGTTGGCTTGGTCAGCAAAGGGTAGTGCACGAAACAGCAAGAACTCGCTCCTGGAATCCGGCTTCCTAAGAAATTGCACCACACGCCGGATTCCTTCGTACAGCATTCTGTTGGCACGTCTTGGCTTCTAATCTGGGTAATCGAGCGGGGTTGATCCACGTGACCTCTCACATTCGGTTTCACAGACTGAGAGAGAAAGGGAGTCTAGAGTTTAGGGTACATTTCGGAGCTATCCGAAACTACCATTGTCATTCCGGCCAAACAGAAATCAGTTGGTCTGCTTGCAACAGGGTTCCCCATATTTCCCCTGAAAATCATCAAAGAACATCCCCTTGATGTTCAAAACCACCAAAACGACATATGGGGACCGTATAAAACTGGCCATGTGCCTAAGGCTCTTGCGAGAGGGGCAGGAAACGGTCCCGGCACCTATCTGGAGGGGCCTGACATTTGCCCTAGCTGGTTCTTTCAGGTTTTCTCACCAGGCAGATTTTGGGGCGTCAAGTGCAGAGAAGCGGGGCCGTGCAGCTTGCTAAGACGTTTTCTTCTCAACACCTGGAGGAAGAGCAAGGACTGGTGACTGATGGCAACACCCATAAAGGGCTTTGCATTTAACCTTTGAACCGAGTCAAAATGAGGTACCTCACACAAAGACAACACCAAATGGGGGTATTTTTCTTTAGGGGGCCATTTTAAAAATAGGGCTGTTCGCCCTCAATTGGTTTGGCAGGTTCCAAGTGCGAACCATTCTGTCACTCGATCCAAGGTATCATCTTGCGCAGCCTGTTCTTTTGGAGTCCTGGCACGGCTAATCAGCGAAGATTTGTTTCGCGGGAGAGACCCAATTTGGGGACTCACTGTGTCGAAGAACCTGGAACAAACGCACCCAGTTTGTGTGTGTGTGTGTGTGTTGGTTTCAATATACTCTATTCACCTGGTGCAAGGTAAACCAAAAGGCAATACCTCCACGTTGGGTCCCTGCTTTTTGACACACCCCCATATATGCCCTCTGTTTGATCAACCAAGCAGGCTCAGAGGGGCAACCCACTGGCCGGAGGGATCCAGACACTTCGAAGGGACACTGGCTTTGTCTTTCCCCTTTTGCGCAGCTGACAGCTGCTTAGTGCGTTTCCCACGCTTTTTACTGGTTTGGGTTTCCCTTTCAACCGAATGTAAGCGAGAGTCGTGTGCGTGTTTCCCCGGGCTTTCCATTCAAAACCAACCAGAGAGGGGTTTGGTCCACCATCCTCCCCAGAATTAGTTCCCCTCTGTATTCACTACCAGGCAAAAGATATCATTTTGTGCTGGGGTCCTAATTCCAGCCAAGCCATGAGAAAAGCGTTTTTACCACGTCCCCCAAAACCCAAAAGGAGGTGGGCCCGGGCTGCATTTTCTGCTTTATGGGGATTGGAACGTTCTCCCTGCCAAATCTAAATTGGTCATGCCTAAAAGGATCCGTTTGTGTGCCAATCAAAGGGATGTGAAAAATGTTTGAACAGAAGGCAGTCTCGTCTCTTTTCCAACTTGCCGTGCGCCAGACTTGAAACACATCGTCCATTTGCTTGCTGTTTTGCGTATGTTTGCCATGTTTGCTTATTGACACCTGAGTGAAGAGGTCACATCAGCTCCCCAAAAGCTAATATATATATATATAATATATATGCTAAGGTAGACTAACTATGAGACAGTGTCGGACGAAATTATTTCTTGTACCCCAGACTTTGAGCCAACAGGTGTCCCAGGTGGAACAAAGTCCTGCACAGGACATGTTCGAGAATATGACGCAGATACCCTGGCTGGATGAGGCTGTGGCAACAATGGAGCAGCTCGGTGGGCAGGATGTGATTTCGGGGGTTGAGGTTTCAATCACTTTAACCAATACAACTACTATAATATTGTGTATGTTCTTCGTTGGGTTAACACAGAAGCTATCACTACTGGAAGAATGTGTCATTTTGCCAGGGGACTTAAGCAAATGGAGGTCCAAACGCGGGGTTTTCAGGATGCGATGACCTTGTTTGAGGCAAAGATGTGTTTCATCGAGGAATGAGTTGGGTGTGAATGTTGGGTCCCAGACCCTTTGGAGGATGTCAGAATTCAGTGATTCACGTCCTATTGGTTGGTGGTTCTGACTCTAGAACACCATATTGTCTTAAAACTCACCTAGGCACATAGGTGTCTTGCCTGCCATTCTGCATGTTGTTTTGCAAAAGGTAGCATGGTTGCTCCGGAGTTCTTTTTTTTTTCCTGTTCTCCTTTTGGTGCTCTTCGTATTTCCCTTTGGTCTGCTTTTGGCTTCCCTTGGGTTTCCCTTTGGTTTCCTTTGCCCAGTCATATTTTTCCTTCTTTCTGCTAGGCTGCTCGGCAATTCGGGGTAGGGCTCGCTCGCGTTTTCGCGTCTTGATCCCCTTTTGAAGGAACCAGAGGCCAAAAGAGTCGTCCAAAGGCAAACCCTGCATTCTTTTGATTTTTCCCTTTTGAGGTTTCCCTTTTGAGGTTTCAATCAACACAAAAGCGCAGGCCCCCGTGGAGCCGTCAGCAAGCAAGATGAAGATGTTGCACCGGAGGGAAGCTCAACCCCGGCTCAGCGGAAGCACGTTTGGGGGGGGGGGGGCGAATTCACATCAATCTAGGTGTCCTAGCTTTCAACAACCAGCTGTTTCCCCTGGTGTTCTGATGGTTTTCTGGAAAGAAGGATTCCTGGAAAGAATGGAGAATCTGTCCCCTAGAATCAGCTATAACACCTCTGTACACGAATTCACACCTGAGCATGGAGCCCAAACAGCACCGACAAGTGAAGGGATCCTCTTTTGGAGCCCCCTTTTGGGGTTCCATGAGAAAGGGGCGCTACCAAATGTCGATGTGTGTTGGACATGGGTCTGCGTGAGGTATCAGATCTTGACTTACAATGCGAACCTGAATCACTTCACGTTGTACATACATCAGTTCATCAACGACCTGAACCCCGAGATCAGACACAGGCGGCAAATGCTGGGCCGGTGGCAATGTTTGACAGCAATGCAGCTAGCTTGTACTGCGATGGGGAGTGGACGGGTGGACGGGTCTGACATGAAGGTTTTTTGAGGGGTTCTCAAAATTTTGTTTGGAGGCGGTTCCCCTTTCACCAGGATCCGGTGTGTGTTTTTTTATTATTTCGTGGGGCTGGGTTGGTTGTTTGGTTAGTTGGTTGGTTGGTTGGCTTGCAGCATGCCCGGCATCACCAGCCTTGGCCCGGGAGTTTCGAGGATGTCAATGGACCCAGTGGCCATGCTGCGAGGTTTCAGCACGAGTCCTTTATCGCGGAGCCATATCTGTCAGTTGCTTGCCTGCAAAGGATCGCATCGCTTGGACAAGGTGGGCATCTTAAGTGTCCATGTTGGCTGTGTTGGATGGCTGTACCAGTGGCGGAAAGTCTGAGGTAGGGAGTAAGCAGGTGGATCAATTCCAAGAATCTCGCTGTGCGTCAAATCCGGGGGACGGTTCTGAACCAAGAACGCGACGACTCCAAGTCAGTTTTCACCAGAATGCATGAACAGGTCCGGAGTGCTCGTACCTCAACGAAGAGCCTTTCTTCAATGAAATGACTCCTTTCATAAGAACCCAACCCGCTCTGCTTAATTTATCACCCTCTCCTGGTCCCCTCCAGTATTCCCGGAAAAAGGTCTTGTTAGGGGTCTTACTGGGGGTCTGAATTGCTGGTAATCAACATGAATCTTCTTTTTTTTGATTCGGAGGCGGCCACGCAGATCGGTGTTTTTTTATTTCCTAGGGCTGGGTTGGTTGGTTGGTGGGTTGGGTTGGGTTGGGTTGGGTTGGGTTGGTTGGTTGGTTGGTTGGTTGGCTTGCCGCATTCCCAGCATCACCAGCCTCAATTGGCCCGGGAGTTGTTTATTGGCTCTGATCGGAAGGCAGTTGGGAGTTGCTGGGGGCTGCTGGTTTAAGTTAAGGGGAGTTTAGGCTGGCTTGGATCTTCGTTAGAGTGAGTCTTGTGGTGGTTTGGGGTTGATTGAGGGCTAATATCCAGGCTGTTGTTGGGCGGGTTTAGGATTGGCATTGGTGGATTTGGGGTTGGCTTGGAGCTGTGTGCTGCTGGAAAAACGGTGCCTTTATGGTTGTTTTTGGTGAGTTTTGGTCTCGTTTAAGATTGGTTTTGGAGCGTTGCCCCAAACCACCAAAACTCGCCCACAACTCACGCAACAACATTCCTAAAGCAACCCTAAAGGCACCGTGTTTTCCAGCAGCAGCACACCCAACACAAATCAGCTCCAAGCCAACCCCAAATGGAACCCTTGTAAATGGCAACAAGCACTAAAACCTGCGGTCCCCTGGTGGTTTTTTTTGACCCATACCCACTAAAAAAAAACTCTAACGCGGCCACGCTGCTCATGCGGATCAACCACTTACCCAGAGCTTTTTGTCGATCGACAGGAACCTCAGCTCGTGATCAGTGACACCTTTAGGACCATGTGTCGGATGACGTCCTGTGGCTAGTGCTTCCAGATACCACTATCAGGGGAAACCATCATGTAAAACCAAGAGATACATTCCCCTGAGTCACAATCAAAACACGGGTAGTTGCCGGGTAGCAAGGGGCACTCCCAGCCAGAAACATGGGTCCGGCCGCCTTAGTTCTTGACATGGTTCTGGGCTTGGACCATGTTACTGCTGGGCTTTGAGTATGACTCACCTCACCTCTAGTGGTAGCTGGAAGCACAGGGACTTGGCGGCAGGGTGCGAGCTTCATCCCGGATGTGCTCTTGCTCCTGCTGTGCCTCAGGCCGGGTGGATGCGGATCGATGGATTTGTCCGGAACTTAAGGACCAACAAGGGGCAGAACAGATGGAATCCGCAAAACAGCACGAATCAAAGCTGCTTTCTGGACTTGAATGTCTTCCAATTTGAAGGTTATGCATGATAATTGCCGTGGTACAGCGGATGCACAATTGTTGAATATATCATGTACATATTTGTGTCTACAAAACACCTACAAGGAGCTGCGAAGCCTGTCATGTCTGCGAGACCCTGTGACCCTCCATGCGGTCAAAATGAAATTCGCTGCGTGCCCAGAGAAGCCGCATTTTGCCAGCCACACACACAAACACAGGCATGCTCCGGCATCCTCCCTGCCTCCGAGTCAATGTTGGGTGTCCATCTTTGGAACCTGCTTGCATCCACGCGTACAACCTTCTAGGGGCCGTTGCGTCACTGGCCGGGGTGAAATAGACTCATTGGGGTGCTCCACAACATTGGCTTCGTTCAGGGTTTCCTACCCGGGCAAGGATGGATTGACGAGCGTATTGATTCGGAGTGTTTCCTGGCCAATCATTTGGGTTGTTCTTTTTGAGGGTACTGTACCCTTTAGGGGTTGGTTGAAAAAGGAAAACCAAGCGGAAACGTTTATTGCGAGATTCCCCCAATGTAGCGTTTTCATGTTTGAGCAGCTCAGTTTCGGAGACACTCAGGGCAAATGGGCGCTATGGAGAGCCGTGGCTTTCGCCGGGCGAGCTTGCAGGTCTGTGTACCTGAATCTCAAGGAGCTCTTACCAGCCACCCGGCAGCTTTGAGCTTAGCGGTACTCCTTCGCTCCGCGGCATGGGTGCTCTCCTTGAGAAAAAATCCCTTGGTACGTCTTGCAACGAAGCAGCTGAGGCTCTGAAGGCCTAGATGTCTTGAGCGGCACCCGGCAAGTAGCCTGGGTCCTTGCTCTTTAAGTAGCAGAGATCTCAGGTATGAGGCAGGCGCCCGACAAGTAGCCTGGGTCTTTGTATGTTCAAGCTGCAGAGGCCTCAGAGATCATCATTCAGCAAGTAGGTGTCCTTTTCAGTTGTGTTGCTCGAAACATAGACGGCAATTCCTGGTTTACCTGGTGGTTTAATCATCTACCAGGGACATCCATCTAGTTCCCTGAAAAGGACACCTACGCATTCAGCAAGTAGCTGGTTCTGATGCTTGGGTTGCAGAGATCCCGGAAGTGTTTTTTTTGAGCGCGCCACTTTCTTGCCGGACGGGGAGCCAAGGCTGTGATGGCTGGCCTGGACGGCTTCCTGACCTACATGACTGGTTGGAAAGTTTCCTGGCAGCAGTTGTGCCTAGTGTCAAAATCAATCCTAACAGTTGGGTACAGGGGTATGGGTCTAGTCCTGGGTCCCATTTACTAGGATTCCAGAATGGATGCCCATTTTTGACCCACGGCCATATCAACTAGGACCCGCTTAAAGAGCGGGTCCTCTTCTTCTGCGAGTTGAGGTCGCTTTGGAAAAGCCGATGGGCGCAGGCTCCTCATGGCCAGATGGTTGTGGCTTTCTGTGGTGTCCCACTACGGATTCCGGAAGTTAGCCCTTTGGGGTGAAAAGGAGCATGAGGATTTCCCTTCAGCAAAGCCCGGAGAGTCCGACCAATTAATGCTGGCATGTCAGGCTACCCGGTACTTTGCATTGCAGCCGTGAGGAGTTCCCCCATGTTTGCACGCATTGACATGGGCGGTTTTCGACATGAGCCGCCTCCCAATAAGGATCCCAACAGGGGTAACAAGCTTTGACCGCCTCCGCCTGCTCCACCCCACCCCTCGGGAAAAAGAAGGGGGAACAAACACGCGTAAAATGACAACAAAAAAACGGACACTGAGGTGGTGGAGTGGACTTCCATCATCTTCTCGATGGCCTGCTTCGGCTTTTGGCGCCTCTGAAACAAGTATGGAAAACTCCAAGCGCTGGTCCAGGGGCGGGTCCAAGGGGCTACAGCCGGCCTTGTCAGCTCGCATCCCGCCTTCTCAAATGCATTCTACTCCGTTCTGTGGTATTTACTCTACACATTTGTATCACGCGAAGCCCAAGATACGCTCGCAAGCGCAGTCGCACACCTGTGTGGGCACGTGCAAGCGTGCTCGTGTCACGGGCCAGGCCAATTGCACTGGTGATGTAGCATCCGCCCTCCCAAAAGAGGGCAAAATCACTATGTTGGTCATGGGATTCCTATGGACAGGAAGGAGTGTTCGCCATCTATTGATTGCTGTCATCGCAGTTCCACGGATTTGGCAATCACACGACAAAGGCAAAGCAACACAACCAACAAATCATAGAAAAAAAGAACCAACACCGAAAGAAGAGCAACGCAGCACCACCACCATGGCAAACAACAACGCAACAAAACCAACGCCAAAGCAAACAACAAAGCAACAAGACCAAGACAAACACAAGAAACAAAACATCAAAGCACACAAACACAAACAACAAAGCATCAGCACACACAAGCCAAAAAGTACCAAAGCACACACACAAGCAAGAAAGCATCAACAAACACGCGCGCACACACACACGCACACTAGCACCCACGCACACACACACACACTAGCACCCACACACACACAGACACACGCACGCACGCACGCACGCACGCACCCACCCACACACACACACAGCAAACAAGCAAGACTGATCAACACGAATACCAAAGCAACACAACCAAGGCCAAAGCAAACAACAGCAACACAACTAACAGCAAACCACACACAGCAAGGCAACAACAGCAACAACAGCAGCAGCAGCAACAACAACAACAACAGCAACTACAACAAGAAGACCAAACCAGCCCAAACCAGCAAACAAGCAACAACACCAAGTCGAAAGCAAACGACAAAGCAACACCGACAAGACCACAACAACAAAAACAACAGCTCAAACAAAAATGCAACGACACCAACACCAACACAAGAAGAATGTAACTAACACCAGCACCAAAGCAGAGAGTAACAAGACAAAACCAAACCCAAGACAAACAACAAAGCAACACAACCAAGACCAAAACAAACAAAGCACGAAAACAAGCAAGACCAAGACCAATGCAAACAAGAAAGACCACCACAAGCAACAAAGCAACCACAACGAAGACCGAAAACAATTGGCCATGGGTCAAATTCCCGTACCCCCAGTGAACATCCCAATCCCCACAAGAATAGGTTCTAGAATGGGTGGTGAATTTACCTACCAACCAAAATGGGATCCCAAAACGGTTTTGACAACAGCCACTTGCAGGGCACCACACATTAGCAGACAACACGAAGTTTTCCTGCCACAAGGCCTTCGATCATTTTTGTCCTCAGGATGAGCATCAACATGGAGCTCAGCGTAGATCTGCCCAGGGTCATCGCCGCGTATCCCAAAGGACAGACACGGGAGTTCAGGTTGGGTTCGGCTTGGGTCTGGAAACTTGTGGCTTGAAACGTGTTCTTCCCCAGAATTACCGGGCAAAAATATTTTTTTTGGTGGGGTCCTAATTCCAGCCAAGTTATGGACTGGTTGGTGGGCTCTGGGAAGCGGGGAACATGAGAGACTGTTGGTACCCATACCCATCGAACACTTTCTGAGGTACCATGAAACTTGGCGGCTCGTGGCGAACATGGGACTGCTGGCGGGCAAATTGCAATGTCACATTTGCCCCCGTTTTGACCGCCACGTAAGGTAAAAAAAAACAGACCCCTGTCAAGAAGAGGGTTTCTACACATTTTGGGGCCCCTTCATTTCCCATATGGCTGTGGGTCAAAACCGATGGTACCATTTTGAGGTGCACCAGCCATTTTAGTGAATTTATCGGAGATTGGGAAGTTCACTGGGGAACGGGATTTTGACCCATGGCCATATGGTCCAACAGCTCTAGTTTCCGCACCTGTGTGGATGACCCATTCCTCCAGACTGACTCATCTTTCGGAAAACCCAAACAAAATTCAGCCGATGTCTTCCTTTTGGGCTGCGTGACCTTCAAACTTCGAGTGATTTTCCTGGATGGTAGTTTCTTCGAATCTCCTTTTCAGGGTCCAAATTCGTCTGGGCCTCGAGGCATGGGGTTTGGGGTAAGGCTCCCGGTGGTTTTTGGGCCCTCATAGGCTGTTTTTGAGGGCCCTTGAGGAATTGGTCCGGGTTCTTCCGAAAACCGCAGCGCGTTGTAGGGGCCATGAGCCGGGGCAGACATAAACGGAAGACAAGTTTCCCAGCCGCGCGAAGTTAGCCGAGGAGAACTTGATGCAGCTATCCGAGAGAAGGGCCACTACCTGAGTCTGGATGAGCTGGAGGCGCCATCTCCGTTCAGTTTGCGATGTGTGTTATTTGTTTCTTTGTTTTTGTTCAGTTGGTGATGTTTTATTTGTTTTATTTAGTTTTCTTTCTGTCGTGTGGCTCAAGCCATGTTGGCTCAAGATCTTTCCCTGGCGGCTGAAAGGTCACTTCAATGACAATATGGCTATGGGTCAAAGCCAGTGGGATCCGATTTTGGGGCAGGTGAATTCACCACCCATTTTAGAACCTATTTTAGTGGGGATTGGGATGTTCACTGCGGGTACGGGGTGTTGACCCATGGACATATACTTTGCTTCAACATTCACGTTAACCTTGTCTGTTGATCGTGGACGTCGCTGAGGTCCAAAGGAAATCAGCTGCATGAAGAGCTGTGGCTAGTGACCCAGCCGCGGTCCATGACCCGGCGTTCCTGCTCCTCATCGCCTACTTTCTTTTCTGGTCATTTGGGGATTCACACCGAGTCCCGGGCATCGCGAACAGTGAAGCCATCATGATGTGCGCGCTTAGGATGCGGTGGCTCCGCCATGCTCCGCCTGCCCTTGACGAGACGTGATGAGGGCGAACCTCAACTGACGGCTGCGGTGCTTGAGATTGAGGCTGGACCCTCAACGTTCCTCCAAATCTGGATGCCTGAGGGCGTCTTGAACGCCGACTGCGTTGCCCCGAGCCCGTCCTACTGCGCACAGACGTCAATATCCCGGATGGCCCTGTACATGGGCCCAGTTTGACACTGACTTCGGCGGAGGGCTCCACTGCCGTTTGCCGTCGAACCCATCGTCCATGGGACGTCGAGGACGACCCCAGTTGAGAATGCCCTCGAGAGCCTGATAAGCGCGACGCCCTTGCCAAAGCAAGCAAGTTCTTGTCAGTCCTAGGGCGGGCCCACGCTTGCAATCGCTGAGCAGGTGCTTGTCTACTTGCTGAGGTTTGCCAGCTCACGCTCGAGCGAGTCAAGCTCCTGGTCAGCCATCCGCTAAGAACACCCAAAAGCAAGCCGGCAACGGGTTGCAGCGACAAATGAACCGAGCTCGACAACCCGCTTCCGAATAAATTGGAAAGGCCCCTCAATCCGGTTGACCGTATGAGAGAAAGTAGGGTCGCTCGACTTTGTGGCTCGGCACCTTCATAAATGACTCGGTCACACATCCGCCCCCGAACTTTGGATGCCAGCGCCCAGTCTAGCGCGCAGGGCGCGGGCGCTGCCCCTCCGCCGCGACCCCGATGCCACCGCGGAAAACCCAAGCACTCTTGTGAGAACTGTTAAGTGACATGTGAGCTGTGTGTGATGCTGGGCGACCCACTAGTAGCACGTGTAGAACCAAGGGCGGTCCCAAGAGAGTCCAAGCCTGGGCGGGTGCGCCGGGGAATGTTCTCGTGGGCTCAAGTGAGTCAGCGCTTTGGTGGGGTCGAACCGTGATGAAGCGCCGTGCCCCCAGTGTTGAACAAACATCGCCTGTTCAAGAGTTGTACCGCGCCTCGTAAAACTTCTCCAACGTATATTAAATGCACAGCGGCCGTTTGCCTTGGGACAAACCTCTGGGGTTGCGTGGAATGGCAGCTGTTTCACGGAGCTGAGGTTGAAATGTGTCGCAGTGGGAGCTGCGCAAGGTTAATGCGCATTGACTTTGGCCGCCAACATGTCTTCCCCAGAATTAGTTCCCCTTTTTTGTTTTGCTTCCACGACCAGGCAAAAAACAGAAAAGTGCATTTTTTTTGCTGGGGTCCTACTTCCAGCCTCAACATGTGAGTGCGTTTATGGATCCCCGGCTGCCAAATGTTGCGTGCGCATCGCTCACAGGAGACGGTGAGCATGGAAGATCTGGTGCGTCTCTGCGGAGACGTGATGAGAGTTACTCGGTCTGCTGCCATACGGCTGTGGGTCCAAAATGGGTATCCATTTTGGAACCCTAGTAAATGGAACCAAGGACTAAAACCTGCGGTCCCTTGGCTTTAAGTTTGACCCACACCCATAAGGGGCTCTGCGAACGAGCTCACCGGCGCGGCCGGGCAGGGGGGGGGTGGGAGAGCTTCCCATGAAAGGGTTTCCTTATCTCAGGTTGCCCATGAAGGTGTTTGACTTGGGGGTTTCCTTATTTCAGGTTTGTCAAGAGCAATTGCCCAGACTCGTGGGTCCTTGTTCAGGGTTGCAATGGGCCCAATTTCAATGCAAGTGCATGTTCCCTGGTAGGCAGTTTAGATATCACCGTTCGCGGGTAACATCACCTC